CCCCCCCCCCGTGCTTATGTTAGATATGGATGGCCTCTAACCCACCCCCACCTTCTCCCTCAGTGCTTATGTTAGATATGGGTGGCTCTAAACTTTTGGTCATTTTAAATGAAAATCTTGACATTAATTTAAGAAGTGCCCATGGCTATAAAAAAATCATTAATCTTATCAATATTTTAAGTTTGCAGAGTATTTTTTTTTTTAATTACCGGTCTCATTGCAAAGATATGCTAAATAGGCAAATGCAAATATTAGGATAAAAAAAAAGCTATTATGGCCAACTATTGAAAGACTAAGACATCTGTAAAAATTGATTCCAGCATCACACAGAAGCCAACAAAGTAAAGAAACCAAGTTTTGCCCTTAGGAAGGTCTCCTCTTCTGGTGAAGATGATCTGAAACCAATGATGACATCATTAGTATAACCATGACACCATTAGTATGGACATTTACATAAATAGTTTTTTTAAATAGAGTTTCAAAAACCAGAAAAATTTATTTTCAATATATGATGTATGTTATGTTTTTTTAAAAACAACAGTGTATTACTAGTATATAAAATATAATAATGTTTAAAGGTAAGTTTATTAAAGATCTATCAGACTAGAATTAGGATGAGGAGGTATTTTTGTGAAGTTTATAATACTAAACTAACTACCTAACTCTCTTAAGAAAAACAGCAAACTAAGGATAATATGAAACTAAAATACTCATCTAAAATACTCAACTAAAATAAATCAAAATTACACTAGCTCTGTTTTAAATCAATGATCAGAAGGAGATTTTCAATGTCAAGAGTTGATCTGTGAATGTCAACAAGAGTTGATCTGTGAATATCAACAAGAGTTGATCTGTGAATGTCAACAAGAGTTGATCTGTGAATGTCAACAAGAGTTGATCTGTGAATGTCAACAGTTTATTGTGAATGTCAAAAAGAGTTTATCGTGAATGTCAACAAGAGTTTATAGTGAATGTCAACAAGAGTTTATCATGAATGTCAACAAGAGTTGATCAGTGAATGTCAACAAGAGTTTATCATGAATGTCAACAAGAGTTTATCATGAATGTCAACAAGAGTTTATCATGAATGTGAGCAAGAGTTTATTGTGAATGTCAACAAGGGTTTATAGTGAATGTCAACAAGAGTTCATCGGGAATGTCAACAAGAGTTGATCAGTGAATGTCAACAAGAGTTTATCATGAATGTCAACAAGAGTTTATCATGAATGTCAACAAGAGTTTATCATGAATGTCAACAAGAGTTTATCATGAATGTCAACAAGAGTTTATCATGAATGTCAACAAGAGTTGATCAGTGAATGTCAACAAGAGTTTATCATGAATGTCAACAAGAGTTTATCATGAATGTCAACAAGAGTTTATCGTGAATGTCAATAAGAGTTTATTGTGAATGTCAATAAGAGTTGATCTGTGAATGTCAGCAAGAGTTTTATCGTGAATGTGAACAAGAGTTTATCGTGAATGTTGATCTGAGAATGTTACAGCTGACAATACATTTTAAAGATGAATGATATCATATTGTAATCAACACTAGCAAGCATTTTTACCATTATAATCTCTACAATAGCAAAGCCAATTAAGCTGATCCCCAGCATGAAGTACATTCCTCCATTCTCACTGACATCAGCGCCACGGTAAATCGATAAAGATATGCTGACCTGGTAACAAAAAACTTACATTTCAACTCAGAATTAAATTTTTTTTTATTCATTGCTAAAGCTCTGAGCTTATCTTCTGCTACATTACTGCTAATGCATATGGTTTCCTATGTACACATTTCAAGATCTAAAGTTATTAAATGGCATGAGACAGAAGCTCTGAGCTTATGATCTGCTACATTCCTGCCGAAGTACAAGGTGCTTGCTATGCTGACCACTTCAAAGGTAGCTGCCATTATTGTAATTGACATCAATCTCTTGGATCATTGTGTTAAAAAAACTAAATCTAAATATCTTAAAACAGCTGTGACTACTACCAGTTATACATTACTTACAAGAGCAATGACTACAATTAATTATAAATTACTTACAAGAGCCATGACTACAACTAATTATAAATTACTTACAAGAGCCATGACTACAACTAATTATAAATTACTTACAAGAGCCATGACTACAACTAATTATAAATTACTTACAAGAGCCATGACTACAATTAATTATACATTACTTACAAGAGCCATGACTACAACTAATTATAAATTACTTACAAGAGCCATGACTACAATTAATTATAAATTACTTACAAGAGCCATGACTACAACTAATTATAAATTACTTACAAGAGCCATGACTACAACTAATTATAAATTACTTACAAGAGCCATGACTACAACTAATTATAAATTACTTACAAGAGCCATGACTACTACCAGACCAACAAACAAAACTTGAATAAGACGCTGGAAAAAAACCAAATGGATATTAAATTTTTCTCCTCAAAAAAGTACTTTAAAAAAACTAACAATCAGCTTTCAATGTATTGAGCCAACACTGTAACGTTAAAATGTATTGAGCCAACACTGTGACGTTAAAATGTATTGAGCCAACACTGTAACGTTAAAATGTATTGAGCCAACACTGTAACGTTAAAATGTATTGAGCCAACACTGTGACGTTAAAATGTATTGAGCCAACACTGTGACGTTAAAATGTATTGAGCCAACACTGTAACGTTAAAATGTATTGAGCCAACACTGTGACGTTAAAATGTATTGAGCCAACACTGTAACGTTAAAATGTATTGAGCCAACACTGTGACGTTAAAATGTATTGAGCCAACACTGTGACGTTAAAATGTATTGAGCCAACACTGTGACGTTAAAATGTATTGAGCCAACACTGTAACGTTAAAATGTATTGAGCCAACACTGTGACGTTAAAATGTATTGAGCCAACACTGTAACGTTAAAATGTATTGAGCCAACACTGTAACGTTAAAATGTAAAAAAGAAAACAAAGTATTATTTGACAGCATGGGAATTACAAACTTATAGTGCAGGGATAAGGTGGGGGGGATGTGTGAAATCAGTGGGGTGGGGGGAATCAGAGGGGGTGCAGAGGTGCAAAAAGGTTAAGCAACCCTGCTGTAACAATATGACCTGAGGATGAAGGGAATATCAGAGCACTCCTGCTGTAACAATATGACCTGAGGAGGAAGGGAATATCAGAGCACTCCTGCTGTAACAATATGACCTGAGGATGAAGGGAATATCAGAGCACTCCTGCTGTAACAATATGACCTGAGGATGAAGGGAATATAAGAGCACTCCTGCTGTAACAATATGACATAAGGATGAAGGGAATATTAGAGCACTCCTGCTGTAACAATATGACATAAGGATGAAGGGAATATAAGAGCACTCCTGCTGTAACAAGATGACCTGGGGATGAAGGGAATATCAGAGCACTCCTGCTGTAACAATATGACCTGAGGATGAAGGGAATATCAGAGCACTCCTGCTGTAACAATATGACCTGAGGATGAAGGGAATATCAGCGCACCCCTGCTGTAACAATATTACATAAGGATGAAGGGAATATTAGAGCACTCCTGCTGTAACAATATGACATAAGGATGAAGGGAATATTAGAGCACTCCTGCTGTAACAATATGACATAAGGATGAAGGGAATATAAGAGCACTCCTGCTGTAACAATATGACCTGAGGATGAAGGGAATATAAGAGCACTCCTGCTGTAACAATATGACCTGAGGATGAAGGGAATATCAGAGCACCCCTGCTGTAACAATATGACATAAGGATGAAGGGAATATTAGAGCACTCCTGCTGTAACAATATGACATAAGGATGAAGGGAATATAAGAGCACTCCTGCTGTAACAATATGACATAAGGATGAAGGGAATATAACTTTTAAGGGGACACTATTGTCTGTCCTAAAATGCAACACTTTGAAAAAGGTCATCTCCCTTGTTTGATGAGTTTCCATACATCAAATATTTCATTACCTGCTGTGATGCTTTGTATTATATAAGCTATTGTGATGGTGTGTATTATATTGGCTTTTGTGATGGTGTGTATTATATTGGCTAATGTGATGGTTGTATTATATTAGCTATTGTGATGGTGTGTATTATATTGGCTGTGATTGTTGTATTATATAAGCTATTGTGATGGTGTGTATTAATTATATTAGCTATTGTGATGGTGTATATTATATTAGCTATTGTGATGGTGTTTATTATATTGGCTATTGTGATGGTTGTATTATATTAGCTATTGTGATGGTGTGTATTATATTAGCTATTGTGATGGTGTGTATTATATTGGCTATTGTGATGGTGTGTATTATATTAGCTATTTTGATGGTGTGTATTATATTAGCTATTATGATGGTGTGTATTATATTGGCTAAAAAGTTGGTCTGGATTTTATTGTTTACTGTGATGTTTTAGATTTTATTGAGAGGCAATTTAAATAAGGGAGGTAACAACTTAACAGTAACATGTATGCAAAGACTAAACAGTTTACAGCAAGTCTGACCTCTAAGATGTTGGAATCCTGGAGAAATATGGCCTACAAGATGTTAGAAACCTGTAGAAATATGTTCACAATGATGTTGGAAACCAGGAGAAATATGGTCTCAAAGATGTTGGATACCTAGAGAAATATAGTCTCAAAATATGTTGAAAACCTAGATAAATGTGGCCTAACAGATGTTGAAAACCTGAAAAAATTTGTTCTAAAAGATATTGGAAACCTAGAGAATATGTTAGAAATCTAAAGATAACAGTTCTCAAAGATGTGGAAACATAGAGAAGTATGTTCTTAAAGATGTGGAAACCTAGAGAAATATGTTCTCAAAGATGTGGAAACCTGGAGATAACAGTTCTCAAAAAGGTGTAAACTTGGAGAAATATAGTCTCAAAGATGTCGTGGAAACCTGGAGAAATATGGTTTCAAAAATTTGGAAACCTGGAGAAATATGGTCTCAAAGATGTGGAAACCTGGAGAAATGTGGTCTCGAAGATGTTGGAAACCTGGAGAAATATGGTCTCACAGAGATGGAAACCTGGAGAAATATGGTCTAAAAGATGTGGAAACCTGGAGAAATATGGTCTCAAAGCATTGCAACAACAACAAACAAGTTTAATAAAAAGTGGGGTAAAAATGTTATTGCCTAGATCAACATTTCCCTAATGCCAGGTCGCGACTCAGTACCAAGCCATGAAAAAAAATTACCAGGTCCCGAAAGCAGAAAAAAACAGTTGCCTGGTCACGAAAGTACAAGTTTTGGGAAACGTTGGCCTAGATCATAAAATGGAATTTTTCCTTGATGATGATTAAGATTTTGTGACATGAAATGGTGACTTTAGTTATACTGAAATGGGGGATGCAAATTAAAACTGTTACCCGGTAAAAAGAAATTATTTTGAGGTGTTGTTACAAATTAATCAGAGAGCTTCCGCAACATCATCTTAAAAATTGACTAACTATTTCATTTCAATATAGTTAAAATACAAGGCCTACTTCCAAAATTGGTTAAGAAATTTTCTATAATATTTAATTTCCATATTTTTGGAAGCTCCTAAAAGATTCAGATGGGTCATTAACTGTCTATAAGATGTGCCATTGAGTGTCTATAAAGATGTGTCATTGACTGTCTATAAGGATGTCAATGACATTGACTGTCTATAAAGATGTGTCATGGACTGTCTATAAAGATGTGTCCTTGACTGTCTATATTTGCACCAAGAATGAAACATTTAATATACTATTTATAATTCATTAATTCATTAGAGTCATCTAATTACAGTAAAATACATACAGATCTAGGAGATTGGGCACTATCATGATAGACAGCATCACCTGTCACACCTGTAACATCAGGACTGCTAGCACTAGGAGGTGGAGTTGGTCTTGCTCCAGTTAGCAGGCCAGTTTTAATATCTGCCATTGCTGGGTTAATTAAAAGACCACATTAAAATGGCTATTTGAAAAAACAAACATATTTATAATAAATTATAACATATATAGTACACAACATTATTCATAATTAACTTAACAAAACAACATTATATTTTTATAGTGTAGCAGCTACATTAATCTATACAAAATGGCATCATTTGTTATTAACTCTTTAATATTGTCAAAACTAAATTTTATTGTCTTTGGGAGACACTTTTTACAAGAAATAAGGGGGCACAACTCTACTGCTTACTGTATCTGATGTTCTTCAGATAAATACTAGTGCTAGTAAGCTACTACAAAATATTTTTCATCAAAAGAATGTATCTCTAATAATTTTCTTGATGTTGACACAATATTTTAAAAAATTAAATAAAAGAACCAAATGTTTATTTATTAAAGATTTTACCCGGGTCCACCCGAAGATTTTCATTTAATATTGTCATGAAAGGTTATGAATTTTACATATCTATCTGCTGTACTAATTTGAAGGCCTAACTCATAGTATTTCCTAACAGATGAGTTGTGAAACTTTTTATAAATTAATTTTTTTTTTAATGGCAGCCCCCTTTAAACCAGAAACAAAATTGTGTGCCATGCTGAGCATGCATGCCAGTTGTTCTTAGGGATGTTATACCATTTTTTATGGCAAATTGGATTTTGGTTTTTACAATCAGGGCGTGAGTCCTGCAGGAACACATGGGAATAGCATTCTTGTACTTTTATAATTAAGAGATATATAACATAATTATTTACTTTAAAAAAAGGTGGGGTGCATCTTGGATGAGTTCCCAGACTCCCCCCCCCCCAAGACTTGATCCCACTTTGCAATGCATTCTAAACTTTTCCTCACAACTATATAAGATCAACATGATATTTTATAAGACAGTACCATCCATTCGTCAAGGGAGAGGGGAAGAAAATGACTGTTTGCTCCAGGAAGCTTTTATTTTTTTTAAAGAAATTTTTTCGAGTGGACGGTTACATCTTTGTTCCACATTTACATTATGTAAAAACAAATATTATTTATGTTTGATAGCTGATTAATGAGCCATTTTTTTATTTAAAAATTGGGCCCTGTACTAATGTACTAATACCACTAAACTAAGTAAATATCACCAATGCCAATACAGAATTCTGGATTCTAAAAATATGGAAACGTTGATTGATTGATTGAACAGGGTCTACTATTATTCGGCAATCCTCTGAAGTCCGGTCCCAAATTATTTCCAATGATTACTCCTTACTTAAAAGCCTTAGGCATCATTTTGTTTTGAAATTTATGTTTGCGGTAGTGGACAATGTTGGATGGAGATTGTTGGCTGCCGAGATGCACAAACACTCGAGCGCATTATCACTAATTATGTGTTGCCATAATGTGTTTTGGACTGAGGCAAAATTAAGAGAGACTGCAATCTGCAAACTGGTTAATATGTCGACTGAACAGTAAATGCTTGAAACAACAATGCTATCACTTTTCCTACCAATTGTATGCATTATACAGCATCTTTATTTAATTAAAAAGTGAATAAATTATGAAATAATAATAATAACACATTTACTATTGGTTTATTTTTAAAAAATTTGTTTGCATAAAATTGATTTTTTCCTCATTCATTTTTATATAAAGATAAAATGAATTCATTCACCATTTTGTGATAATTGACAATCATTTTGTGTTTCAAAACTGGAAACTCGACACAAAGTAAGCGACATTTTTCAGCAAAGTGTGCATTGGGAAACACCATAGCATTGACTTGGATATAATTATACGCCGGACAAGACCTCGAGGGCCTTATATAATTGTTCGGCAGGCCAGATGTGGCCCATGGGCATTGAGCTTGACACATGTACTATAGAGTTTGATACAGACCTGTTTACTCTTACGATTTTGGCATACAATGTACGATTTTGATGTGTATAGATTGTATATACTGTATGTTTTTTTTTACTATAAATATAACGTATTGAACGATTTTGTAATGATATTGTACAATTTTAAGAGTTTGAGGGTAAACAGGTCTGTTGATAGTACTACTAATTGGTATGGTCATAGTGTATGGCACAGGCATAGCTTATGGCAGAGGCATATTTTAAATACTGTCAGTCCGTATTAAAATCAATAAAGGTGGCATAAATCAAAATTTAAATTAATTAATTACTTTTCAAAATGAGCAATAGAGTAGCTCAGTAGCCTAGAAAAATAGCAGCATTGTACTGCAGTAACGTTGCTGCACTGTGTAGGCTCTATTATTCACAATAAATAATAGTAGTAGACAGTTTTTGACACCCTTAATTTCTGCACCCCTCTTCCCTCACACTGATCAATTCACAGTGTGTGATTGAATATATTATATATTCTTGTGTCAAATGATTACCCTGGGGCGGTTTATGTATAACACTGAGTGCCAGAATGCCTCCCCTGTTGCTTAAAAAAAATTCCTTCACCCCGATCAACAGTGAATTCAATTCAGGTATAAGCCAAAATGCACCTCTTGAAATAATCAAACATTTTCTGCGGAGTGGGCCTCTGACCTTTCTTCCAATCAAAAGCCATGTGTGCCATTGATCTCTGCCCTAGTTTAATATATAAATGGCAAATTTTGGCCACAATGCTGCCTAGTGCAGCCCTGTTTACCCTCAAACTCTTAAAATCGTACAATAATATCATCACAAAAATCATTCAATACATTATCTTAATAGTAAAAAAAAATAAACATACAGTATATAAAATAATGTATACACCTCAAAATCATGCAATCTACACCAAAATCGAAAGAGTAAACAGGTCTGCTAGTGGCATAGCTAATATATTTTATTTGCTACTATGGCATGGGCATGTCAAGATTTTTGCAGCACTCCATTTCATGATACAACCTCTGGCGCCAGGGATATGTGATCTCCCCCCCCCCCCCCCCCCACACACACACTTCCCCCAGGATATTGTCTGAAGAAACACTGCTAATTACAGCTAACTTAAATAATATTAAAATAACTAAACAATACTAATACTATAGTATAGATTCTATAATAGAATAGACTATGACTATGATGGCATGGCGTCTATGGCCATGGCATGGGTACATTTTTTAAAGATAAAGTAAATAACTAAAATAAGTTCAGTTGCTGTACTGTTAAGTTTTATTTTTAAAATAATAATATGGATGGTCCTTTCTCGAATTTACTTGATTTACATCTAAATTTTACTTAGTACTTGGCAAGTACGTTTAATATAAATAATATATAAATTGATTAGACCTAAATAATTAAATTCGCAGTATCTAATTTTAATTTAGGTTAGAGACTCAACTAAATTAAATTCGTTTTTTAGATTTCAATAATTAATAAGTTTACCAATATGACAATGTAAACACAATTAAATTAGCTAAAATACGATAATTTATACTTATTTACTTATTGGCTTGCCTACCTGAAATAGAACCAACTAACAAAAGTTATAAAAAAAAATTGAATGTTACTCTTGCTTTTAGTTTTTTAATACAAATGACTAATTCTCTGAGGGTAGTTTACACAGACCTACTGATAATACCAGGCAACCTCTTACACGGTCACATGATGTTGTAAACAATATAAACAAATTTACGAGTCTCAAACTAGCAATCTATTGGCTGTATTTAAAATAGTGACCAATCGAAAAAGTAACACCTTTGAGAAAACGAAAGCAAATCACTGCACTTATTTTGTCACATGACATTAAAAATGGCTTCATCACAGCAGACGACCGTAGTTGATGCACATGCAATTTTCCACGAATTATCACCAAAACTGGTATGTATATTGTTCATAATTTGAAATAATATTAACTTTAAATTTGAAAGACTGTTGTTATGACAATATTCGTGCCTTGATCACAATTAGCAATAATAATAAATAAAATGTGGATTAAAATTTATACGTGAAATAATTGTATTTTGTGGCTTTCTTCTGACTACCTCTGGCTTCGTTGTATGTTTGTCTTGTCTTTCTCCATTCATTATCAACCTATTATATTTAGTTTAGGCCTATAAAATATAGGCCTATCAACTAATTGGGGGGAGGGTTATAAATTATATTTATAATAATAATATTATATAATATAAAATTTATAAAATTATAAGTTATCATTATTAAATTACTATATTTCAGACTATATAATTATATATTTTATAAGGCCGCTACACATTCACTTACTTTACACTTTATTGGCCTTACGCCTTACTCAGTTCAGAATGTTTATACTATAGCCTAATTATCAACAATTTAATTAGTCATCTTAGACTTGGCTTTTTGTTCCAGTTATTTTACTACTTAAACTGAAGTGGAAAAAAATCCATTTAAAATTAAAACCTCAGAAAATTTAAGTTAAACTTATTGGAATAATAGAGCAATCCTCCAAAGTACGGTCCCAAATTATTTCGTATGAAAAAAATGCAATGCACAGTGTCTTCTTCTTCTTCTTATATTTGAGGTGCCCACGATCAATTTGTTGATCATTCTGGCTCCTGGTTTAAATTCAGAGTTTACCTTCTCTTAGATGGGTTGCCGTCCAAGGCTAGCGAGTCCCATCTACCCGGGGTGCTTGGGATTATTTGCTTTTGGTGGGGATTGAACTCCAGACCACCAGCTGTTTGGTTTGAGACCGTTTAGACCGCTCGGCCACCCAGCACCCAGTGTTTATTGTAGAAATTAGAAAACAGCAGAAATGTCAGTCATAGCTTTTGCAAATAACTGTCACTTTACAAACCACTCAGTAAATACTAAATATTGTAATTGGCGCGTAGCACTTGCAAATAGCAGCCGAAAACGTTCAGCTTGTGACTGATGAGCCACTGAAAAGCCCCCAAGTAGCTGGCAAACAGACCATGACTAGTACCACTCTGGAGTTAACGTTTCGCTGCATCCAAAGTCCTTCAAAAGTTTCTGTGTGAATGTCCTGGTCTACTGGATCAACAAATTCACGTGGGTGCACAGCGTGAGCAAAATCCCGTTGATGAGCTGACCGACATTTTAATATCCTCGCCAAGCGTCTGTTATGATAACTGTCCCTGGCAACACATAATTAGTGATAATGCGCTCGAGTATTTGTGCATCTCGGCAGCCAACAATCTCCATCCAACATTGTCCACTACCGCAAACATAAATTTCAAAACAAAATGATGCCTAAGGCTTTTAAGTAAGGAGTAATCATTGGAAATAATTTGGGACCGGACTTCAGAGGATTGCCGAATAATAGTAGACCCTGTTCAATCAATCAACGTTTCCATATTTTTAGAATCCAGAATTCTGTATTGGCATTGGTGATTTTTTACTTAGTTTAGTGGTATTAGTACATTAGTACAGGGCCCAATTTTTAAATAAAAAAATGGCTCATTAATCAGCTATCAAACATAAATAATATTCGTTTTTACATAATGAAAGCTCAACCATTTTATGAATTTTTTATATCAGTTTGGGATATATGTAAAGGAGAAATAACCTGCTATTTCATATCAAGAAAAAGCTACTGACTGTTTCTGAATTTTCAGAATCGGAAATTAAAAACTTGCAATGCATGTGCCATATTAATATTACAATTATTAACCTCTTACATGGCCTCTGGGGAAAAAGTAGGATAGGTATGGTAAAAACTATTTAAAAGAACGCAACAAAACAACGTCCCATAGGTATGTATAATTGTGTTCTCTAAGTCCACTCTAGTGGGCATGATGGTACAAGACAAATTTGTTGTAATTGTCAAGTTGCTTAACTAGTGGTCACTTAAAGAAGCTTTGTCCATCTTGAATACAATATTTCAGCTAAATTTTGTATTTCATATTTGTGTCAGTGTGAGTATTTGTTTGTTCACTGATTCAAGAAGGCTTCAGTCATAAAAGATATAAAATATTCAAGCTAAGCTGATGAGGTTTTGATCACGAATGAGTTCCATTGAAGCTGAATGTGAGTACATAAAGAATAGGCTGCGGCTATTCAGACCCGGGCCCGAATAGCCACTTCATAAAGAAGAAGTGCATATTATTTACACTAAAAATTTATATTTTTCATTTCAGATCTTATTGGTGAGAGCAGTGAATGGTGTTACTTTAGTAATGGTTGTGGTAGGTGTAATTGAGAACCTTTTTATTTTTGTTAAGTCTGAGAGAACAATGTGTTCAATAATAAATGGAAATTATAATTATAAAAAACACATAAATTGTCAATTTTATAACATTTTCAAAAAGAGTAGTATATCTTTTATACCCTTTTTACTTTTTTAACATTTTTTTAGAAATGACAAATCCTTTTTGCTATTGTACAAAATAAATGGTAACTCAACACTTACTAAAATTAGTGTAACTAAGTAAATATCGTTATGCTCCAGTTATTTGATGATCTTAAAATTTAAGGCAATAGTTCATACATTGTTTTATTCTAAATACTGTATTGTTCTGAATATAGGAAGCTCCTGTTTGTAGTCTAATTGTATATCTGTATTTTTATTTATTGCAACATTCCAAGTTTAAAGACTTACAATATGTGTAAAGGTGCCTACTCTACTCAGAAAAATACAGTGTTCAACTCCCTTTCCTTTGATATAAAGGCTTGTAATTATTCTGTTTTGAAATAGTAACAAAAATTGGCAATTTCTTTTTTCAATTTCTGTTTGAAATTTCTTCATAAAATGAGATTAACTTTTAATAAACTAGGGTAGGGTGTTAATTATCAACTGTACAATAATAGTCATGCTTTACAAATATATTTATTAGTAAAATCTTAAATGTACATAAAGGATTCTATAAATAATAAATAATCTGTCCCCTGTATTTGAAAGCATTTAATTAAAATTAAATATCTCTAAATTAGTAAAGTTGGAAGCTGAAACAATTGTTTTTCAAACTTGCATTTTCATATCAATTCCATTAAATTATTTTTACTTGATTAAAACAATTTTCTGATTTTTATTTTATTAAATTTTAACTTGACACTTAAAAAAAAAATCTAGGGTCGCAAAAAAAATTTTTTTCTTTGCCTTTAAAGTAATCAAATAGTTAAACAATTTGTTAATTAATTTGTAACTTATCTAAGGACAGATAAATATATTATGCTTTTTGGAATTATCCACCACCTTCTTAACATAATTATAACATTCTTATACATATAAATTTATAAAAGGGGGCGTCCATTAATTACGTCAACAAAATAGGGGGGAAAAAGAAATGTTTGACAGTTGTTGACAAGGGGGAGGGGGTGGGTTGGTCGGCTTGTTAAGCTGTTTATTACTTAAGGCGCCACAGTGCAAAGCAATGTAAATAAAACCAACAAAATCGAAGGGAGGGGGAATGCCACCATGCCCTACCCAAATGATATCCCTGATGCCCATTGTTACGTAGAGCAACACCTGGCTACTCCATCGGGAAATAATAGCAGCTAGAAACTATGCTATAATAGTCAGCTATACTGAAAATAATCATATTTATACTTCCACAAACAATGATATTTAGTCTTTAACAAACTTTTAATTGATTCTGCATAATAAAATTTAAGTGTAAAAACTTTTTAACTTGTTGATTAACACGCTAAAGATGTAATAAAAGTTTTTACGGCAATTTTGTCTAATTAACAATACATGAGCACAAAGTAAAACATATTTATAAATTTATTAATATTATAATTCATTATTTTACGGTGGGCGGGGGGTTGGGGGGGGGGGTTATAAAAATTTGACATAATTACGGGGGTCATCGAAAGGTTGACAGTTGTTGACAAGGGGAGTCAAACATTGTGGAAAAATTGTTGAGGTAATTAATATACCACCCAAAAAATGACCAGTTTAAATATCCATTAAAGAAATATAGACTTTTCATATACAACAGTATTCATACTAATAACATCGCATGGGAAATGGCATCGGTGGGCTGTCGAGCGNCCGGCACACCCTCACACAGGTAGTGATAATAGCTCCCCCCCGGTGCAAACGCTTGTGTGAAAGACTGCTTGCAACTGGCAAATCAAACTAAACAGTACTTAACCTCTTTAAACGTACACCCACTTTGAATAGCTCAACATTTACAGAAGCCAAATACCTCTCCATCGCCCTTTGTAATTTTACATATAATATTCTGATTAAAAATGCTAAGATATTTTCTCCATCCAATATATTTACATAAGAGATGACCCATATTCCTTAGGGCTAAGACCACCACTTTACACTAATTTGAATTTTTTGAATATCTCTTCTTCTTATGTTTGAGGGGCCCACGGTCAATTTGTTGATCATTCTGGCTCCTAGTTTAAATTTAAATTCAGAGTGTGCCTTCTCTTAGATGGGTTGCCGTCCAACGAGACCCATCCACCCGGGGTGCTTGGGATGTTGGCTTTGGTGGGGATTGAACTCCAGACCACCAGCTATTTGGTTTGAGACAGTTTAGGCCGCTCGGCCACACATATTGACCCAAACAGCAGCTTTGGGTAGTTAAAGGAGTTAGATATGAAAATAATAATTCATGTTTTTAAGCAAGCTTTATAGTACGGTAATAAATACAAGATATTTGCTTTAATTCTGTTCTGATCCTCAAATCTTCTCTCCTAGCTTAGATCTGAGTATGGATAATGTAATAATTCCCTGGATTTGTCTTTCTCTAAATTAGCAATAACAAAGGTCTACATTTCTAATTTTGATAACTCAAGATTAAATCAGGAATATTAGAATTCAAATGCCAATCTGATTAATGAATATGGACTGTACAAATATTTGAATACCCACAGATGTTGAATAATTTTGCATTTGTCTTCTAATAGATAGCATTTATTCTGTGCTTTGTGCAAGGACACAAAAATGGCTCATACTATCTCCTGGTCTGCAATCTAATCAGTAAGCTTATTTTTCATAATCTGGTTTGTTGAACTTGGACAAATAAAACAGACAGTGACAGTGTTTAAAATAAAGGATTAGATTGATATTAACTTATACAATCTCCCAGTAGTCTAATTACAGCATATGGAAATCTCTTTTGATAGCTTTCTGTTGCGTTGACCTGATCATGTGTGTGGTTTAAATTGGAAAGAGAGTTGTTGGACACACCTGATCCTTTGTATGTGTGTTTTATAATGGAATGAGATTTGTTGTAAGGACCTGATCCTCTGTGTTGGTGTTTGTGTGGTTTATATTTTAATGAGATTTGTTGTAAGGACCTGATCCTCTGTGTGTGTGTGTATTTGTGTGGTTTATAATGGAATGAGATTTGTTGTAAGGACTTGATCCTCTGACTGTGTGTGATTTATAATGGAATGAGATTTGTTGTAAGGACCTGATCCTCTAACTGTGTGTGGTTTATAATGGAATGAGATTTGTTGCATGGACCTGATCCTCTGATTGTGTGTGTTTGTGTGGTTTATAATGGAATGAGATTTGTTGTAAGGACTTGATCCTCTGACTGTGTGTGATTTATAATGGAATGAGATTTGTTGTAAGGACCTGATCCTCTAACTGTGTGTGGTTTATAATGGAATGAGATTTGTTGTAAGGACCTGATCCTCTAACTGTGTGTGGTTTATAATGGAATGAGATTTGTTGCATGGACCTGATCCTCTGATTGTGTGTGTTTGTGTGGTTTATAATGGAATGAGATTTGTTGTAAGGATCTGATCCTCTGACTGTGTGTGGTTTATAATGGAATGAGATTTGTTGTAAGGATCTGATCCTCTCTGTGTGTGGTTTATAATGGAATGAGATTTGTTGTAAGAACCTGATCCTCTGGCTGTGTGTGGGATTTATAATGGCATGGAATTTGTTGTACAGACCTGATCCTCTGTGTGTTTTTATATGTGTGCATGGTTTGTCATGGAATGGGATTCGTTAAAAAATAAAGGGGAGAAGAGACTGTAATCATATTAGCAAAAAAAGAAAGTGAGTGAAACAAAGTATGGAAAAACCTGAAAAAAGAAATGCAACAAAACAACAAAGGTATCGGTAAGAAGCCTACATGAGCAAACAAACAACAGAATTTAATAAAATTAACACTTAGTACTTAGCTGAAATGTAGTATCCGAGAGGGCGGCAAGAGAAATGTGACAGAAGTTAAGTAGGTGAGAGATTATTCTCTAAATCTAAAAAGGGATTTTGACTTACAGTGGACTTACTTCTCATCTTTTCTTTCCCTTATTTAATCTCTCACCTAATCATTTTCTGTCACAATTCTCTTACTGCCATCGTGGATACTATATTTCAGCCAAGTGTTATTTTCATTTAATTCTGTTGTTACCGTTGTTTGTTCGCTCATGAAGGCTGTCCCCCGACATTGTTTTGTTGCGTTCCTTTTTTCAGGTGTCCCATACTTTGTGTCACTCATTTCCTTTTTTAAAAAATAAAGAAAGTTTTAAGATATCAAACCAAGCATTTTGTAGCCTGCTGTAAACACCTATATAATGTATGAAACACTTTAAACATTACAATTAAATGGATGCAAATAATACTAATACAATGGACATTTTTTTTAAGAAATGAATAATCTAGCCTCTCCTTTGGGTAAAATGCAATCAACAAAGCTATTGTCATGCATGTAAATACATATTATTAAATTTTATTATTTTGTTTTGCTATTTTAATTTACAGTCAGTGCGATAGTATCTTCAGTTGTGGTGAGTATACCCAAGAATTTCATCGATTTTCCTCTGCTAAATTAAAAAGTAAAATAAAACTTTAAGTTTAAGACACTGGCTTTATTGGTAAACCTAGCTTTGTCACATGGAGTAGCTGTAGCTCACAGCTTTGTCACATTGAGTAGCTGTTGTCCACAGCTTTGTCACATTGAGTAGCTGTTGCCCACAGCTTTGTTAGATGCAGTGGCTGTTACCCACAGCTTTGTCACATGCAGTATGTATTTGGTAAAATATGTTGTCCTGTAAACCAACATTAGTATGGGGTCAGGACAGGCCATCAAAGTATGCATTGGAATTATAAAATTCATCCCAATTTTCTACAACATGACGATCAACTATTCCTTTTCATCCCAAACTCCTTTCTACATTTTGATTATGGTACATAACAAATGAGAGCACCACAAATATGCTAAAATCAGTGGGCTACAATTGTCGTAACTGTGGTGTCATCACACCATTTGTGTCCCGGCCACAAAATAAGTGACATTAACGTTTTGAGTTTACATTAATTCTTGCTGTGTTTTCCACCCCAACCAACCCGCAGAAATGTATTTTTTTGGAAATGATCAAACATGTATGACCTTTAAAAGTTTGTAAAATCATTGGGTTTGAGATATTTTTAACCACACAATAAACTACTTTTTACCTTCTTAAGGGGGAAATATCTGAAAATCCTCTTTTAATAGACACCTTAGTCTAAGCTACATGTCTCAAAGTTAAACAGGTATGGACTGGGCTTTGATGAGTCAGTCTATAAAATATGTATATACGGTATGTTTATCAGTTACCATAATGTGTCTTATCATGAGTTACTCTCTGAAGTTGCATTGGCAACATTTTTTTAGTACCGTCCTTGGATTTAATTAAAAGAAACTAACTTCTCATTTTGCAGAACTGGTGGTACAAGAGTGGCGACTTGGTAAGGATATCTTTCAATAATAACACACATATTTAATTTCTATTGTTACGGTAATTTTAAAAGAAAATGGGTTTTTGAAGAGTAAAATTATACATTTTGTTATTTAAATTTAAGGAATGGAAATTGTAACCTTAGCTGTAATCATATTTAAAAAAATAAAAATTACTAAAAACATTCCAATTTGCCAATTTTTTTTCTAAGAGTTGATAAGAGCTGAGTAAACAGTTGATAAATTCACTGAAATGGAAAAAAAGAGTGTATACCATATGTCCTTTTGTAGGTTGCTCAGATTATATCTTATTTGATTACTCTGATTTCATCTTATTTTATTACTCATATTACATTTTATTTGATTACTCTGATTTCATCTTATTTGATTACTCAGATTACATTTTATTTGATTATACAGTTTACATTTCATTTAATTTGTGACATGATGTTTTATATTACCACTTGGACATGTCTATGGCAAGCTTGAGATGGATTTTAAATTCAGAGCTGTGTAGTGTGACCCAGTTGCAACAGAAAAAACTTTGACTTTTAAAAATATTTTATTACATTGACTGGACTATATTAACATTTGAATATTTTATCATAGAAAAAAGCAAATTTAAAAATTCCTTTTTTTTGTGTCCCCAGGGCAGTGAAAAGTACTGGTTTGTCATTTTTGTTAGCGTTGTCATAATATTCCAGTGCCTCAGTACTGACATTTTTGTCTTTAAGGAGGACACCATACAACCAATGACAACAACTGTTCTTCCCATGAACACATCTACTGTGGAATGGTCAACTATGATCCCACCATCTACACTAAAATATTAATTTGGCTAACGTTTGACTCATTTATTATGTTCATTACTTTTTTTTTAAACGACTAAAAAAATATTTTGACTTATGTAAAAGGAAGTAATTGGGTCGTAAGTCATTTAGAAATCTTTTCAAATCAATCAATGAAAAATACAATTGTTTTTAAAAACACATTTACTTGAGATACACTCATGGCTCAAACAAATTTTTTAAACTTATTTTATTTTGTAAGGGGAAGAAATAAAAAAAAAATTTCATTAATTCCAATAGTTCTTCCAATACTCATTGTGGCATTTATTTAACATCATAGATATTTAACTGTATATAATATAACTGTAACTTGTGCAATAGTTTACACTTGTTGCTGAATGACTTTTACAATTCTCATTTGAAAAATTTCATCATGACCTATTTAACAATGTTGACAAGAAATTGTTGTATGATGACATCAATTATTGCATAATGACAACATCTTATAAAAGTTACTACCAGTATAAAATGTTTTTTTCATTATTTGAATCATACATGCCAACCTGTGGGATAAACAAACTGTACAAAAAGTCCCAAAAAACTGTACAACAGTGGACAACAGCATGAAAAAACAATACAGAAAGAAAGGATAAGTAAAACAAAGTAAAATTTATAACTTTTCCATCATTTTTTATCAATGTTTTTATTTTTTGTCAATAAATAGAAATAATGTCTGTAATAAATTGGGATAATGCCTAATGCTAGTCATGAAACGTTAGTAATATTAAATATATTTAATACCAACACATACTAACTCTGCAGTTCCTATCAAGAATTACACAAACAGATTTGTAATTATGATTTACTACATATTACTACTCAAAGTAGTTGCTACTGCACTATGCGTTTTAGTATTAATGCATATCAATGAAACAGCACTGTTTCTAAATTTAGATTGCCTACCACTCCTCAACTTTGTCACTTTGAACAGTAAAAGGGATTTAAGGTTGAGCTTCTTGTGATCCTTGTTGAATTTATTGCACCACCAGTTTCCAACCTAAGTCTTGTTCAAAAATATTATTTTTTTAACAAATCCAGTGGAAAAACTGTACAAAGTACTGGTAAACTTTACAAAGTACCAGTAAACTGTACAGGTTGACATGTATGATTTCATGCTTAATTTTTGTCTATAAAATAACAAATATTTGTTACTTTTTTACTGAGATTAATATCTTTAAATTAAAATTACCATATTATAACAAAGTTATATATTATAAGCCATCAATAAACTGATATATTTCACAACGAACAAATTAATATTGCTGAAGTTTTAAAAAAAATATTTTTTTTTAAACTAACTATTTTTATTTTTCTGATAGTATCAGAACAATAAAAATAATTGTGATGTTGTAAATAAATACAACTAAATGGTGTTATCCTTTTTCATGAAATTCAAAAGAACAATTTTACAGTCCATAATTTAAAACATATTTTAACGATGCAATATATATTTTGGCGGCGACTGTTCCCACCTGGGTATCAGAAGTGAGAGGTTGGGATTAAAAAACTATTTAAAATATTATTGTTGGGTTTGTAAGACAAAATGAGGAATTAAATGAAAGATAATTGAATGGACTAAATCTTTGTAAACTTATTTCTTCAGTTGAACTAAAATAAACTACCACAAATGACAACCGAATAGCATTTAGTCTAAAGGGACCCAGGTCCGAATAGCAGCTATCCATTCGGATGTCATTTGTGGTAGTTTTTTTTAGTTAAACTGAAGAAGTAAGTTTAAAAACATATAGTCCATTTAATTATCTTTCATTTGACACCTTGTCCTCATTTTCTCTTACAAACCCAACAATAATATTTCAAATAGTTTTTTAATCTCAACCTCTCACTTTTGATACCATGGAGCCATTTATTTTAATTTATATTATATCTTTGATGAAAATTTTGTCCCATGACATTTCTTCAAACTCATTATTCTCTTTAAGTATTATTTAAAAATGTGGCATCTCTAATAATTCTATATGTTGCTCATCATTTGCATACGAAGATGACCAAGGCTATAATCAATGGTGAGACTCCCATTTGTGCCTGGCAAGCCTGTCACTCCTATTAGTGCCTGGGCAACTTGCGAACATGTAGAACACACATGTTTTAGGGTCTTTTACTTGCTGTGTGCTTTCTTTGGATAAAAACTGTACATTTAATCTCTGAAGATTTTGCTGTAATAATGAGTCTGCCTCACTAGCTTGTGTGATCAAAGCAAGAGTTTAAAATTAGTTCTGGTCAATGTCAGCTTTTCTTTCATCTTCATGGAGGTGGGCAAAGTAGGTCCACAATATGGTTTCTCAGACACCAATTTGTTGCTCAGACACCCATTGGTTGCTCAGACACCCATTGGTAGTTGCATTGACATGGAATTTATTTTGATTAGTATCAAATCTTGTCACATCTGCTTTATGTTACTGTAAGGAGAAATGTTGGCAAGAAGTATATGTTGAGATTGTTTATATTGACCTATGGATAAATGTTGGTAAGAATTAGATTATATGTTGAGATAGTTATCTGTTTTTTGACCTATGGCAGGCCTGCACAACATATGGCCCTTGGGCCGCATGCGGCCCGCCAGTACCCACTTTGTGGCCCATGAAGTAACGAAATATTATTTAATTTTTATCATTTTCTTAATAGCTTTCCCCTGTCCTATTTTCTTTTGGCCCACACAAGTCCTTTCCTATTTGATTTTGGCCCGCACAAGTTTTTCGTAAAGTATTATGGCCCGCCTTACATTTTGAGTTGTGCAGGCCTGACCTATAGATATGCCATTCCCCAAATTTTCTATTTTAAAGTTGATTGTTTTTCCTACTGTTGATTGTGAATATGTCATATGATTGATGTTTATTTCCAATAGTAAATGTGAAGCTGTGAATTGTTATTCACTGTGAGTGGATACACCATCATTTTTGTGTTGTACAAGAAAACTACTACTATTTTGTTATTGATCACTTTCATGGAATCTTGTGATTTCATTAGGTTTACATCATATTTTGATATACTTCTTTGTTGTAAAAAAAAACCTCTTTAAATAATTGATTTTATTATTTAAAACATTATACCAGGGATGGCCAACCAATAGGCAGCATGCAGCCTCACATTTTACTGTATTTTCGTGCATACAAGATGCATCCGTATATAAGAGTAAATTAAGACGCGGTTTTTGACGATTTGTGTAACAAATATTTTACATAAGATGCACCCATATAAAAGACGCACCCTGGCTGCGAGGTATGTAAAACTTTGTATAAGACACGTCTTATATACGTGAAAATATGGTAAATGTTGCTACCTGCATGATGCATCATTTATTTAATTTACACTTCTCTTCTTTTTTTGTTATCAGAGACGATGTTCATGTGAGATACCAATAAAGTAATATTTTTTTTTTAAAAAGTGTTTTAAATTTCATTTTATTTTTATTGAAGCTATTTATCTGTTTGTTCTGGGTGTGAAGATGTGTTATCCTTTGAGAATGGAGAACATTAAGAAGAAATAATTCTGTTCATCGTTTATATTTGGTTATTATTTTGTTAGGTGTAGCACAACATTAGCCATATTGCTGTCAGTGTTAACTTGAAACTTGGTGTTGACGCTTTATAAAGAAATACATTTTATTTGAGAATGCCTCAAGCTTAATCAATCCATGTGGCAAAGATAGAAGAATCCTCCATGAAGATTGAAGACCACTAAATACTTGAAAATTGTAACTCAACATGGATAAAAACAGTGATGGCACTAAACTTAGCTATGCCACTAAACTTAGCTATCCCATTGATAAATAATCTTTAATTTAGAAGGGGTCATAATTTGTTTATCAGCAGCATTTTCATTTACAAAAGGTGAGGTCAAGTTTTATATAATTTCTGCTTATGCAATCTTTTTACACTGGATAAGAATTAAATTAGCGAAACTTGACCTCACCCAGTGATTAAATAATAAAAAGGAGACAAAACAATTTGACTAAAAAAAGACTAGATTGACAAATTATGTGAAAAACTCTTGTGCTGTATTGAATTTGTTTATTATGGGCCTGTGAATTATGTTTAATTAAAAAAATATTCACTGGACATCATCCATCCATGCGCATGGTGAAGTGAAGTGTCATCCATAGTTACGACTGGCATCAAACTTTCACCATCATCGTTTCCTGGAAGGATAATTCAAATAATTGCAGACAGATCAACTTCATCCTCATATCGCCACTCAACATCCTCTGAATGCGCATTTTCTCTTCTGGCAATAACTGCCATGAGTTCTCTTTGCCTTCTACTTCTAGTAGCGATTCTCAAAGGACTGATGCGTTTTATCTGAGTTGATTCTGGAACAGTTTGGGTTGGCACATTCTCCCTAGCCCGAGCTCTGTGTTGTCCTGCGTGTTTCTTCGACATTGTTTGTGAGGCAAATTATAAGTGACATACTTTGCAAATTCGATCAAGTAAGCTGGTCTGCAAAAATGGACAATAAAGATCAAATAGTAATACTTTGAAAATCCCCTATTGATCTCGACAAGGCTATACATAAACGAAGTGAATTCAAATGTTTCTCAAAATTTTTGAAAATTATTTTTAAAGCTATTAAATTCTACTAAAAAATAATAAATAAATTAAAAATAAAATAAAAATAAATGTGTGACGTCACACATGGCCTGACCCCCTCCTCCTGTCACAAACTGTCACACTTTCTTACACCCCCCCCCCGCCCCCCTCTGGAGCATGACGTACTTTATGGACGGCCCCTAAACAACCATACGAAAAACAGTACAAGCCAAAGAGTGAACGATAGTGTTCAATCAAGAATCCTGGTTTAATAAAATTGGATTATTTCAATTACTTCTACAACAATGTGTTAAAATATAAAGCATCTTTAAACAAATCCAACCTAATTTTCATCAATTGGAAAACATATTTGTGGATTGACACACACTGACACAGGTAACTAAGATAATAAAATTATACATTGTAGGATTATAAATAAACAATTTCTTTGAACAGTATGACAGTAGGCCTATATTGTTTGAAAAAAATCATTATAATGCAAATTTACATGAAAAAATAAAAATACTTATTGTTCTCATAATAATATCATATCAATCCATTTTAACTACAATTATTATTAACAGATTTTGCCTAATTGCTTTGCAAACCCCACTACTAATCAACATAATTACAATAAGAAAAACAATTTTTTGACGAGGATTCTTTTGCCTTTGTAAAAAGAATTCTGCGTTGATTAGCCTTGTGAGCTTTGTTTCCATGTGACTTCGATTGCACTTGTATTGTTGGTGATATTTTTACCAGAGAATTTGGAGGTAATATTTATAGCCTTATCCGGTGGGTATTGATATTTTGGATTATAAATTAATAACAATTACTTTTTTTAAAAAACAAATTGTTTATTTCTTTTATGTGATAAACATTTTATAAATGTATTTTTCAATAAATTAATGTATCATCTGTTTCAGGGGCATTAATTTAATCTATTATCACATTAAATACATAGAAAACCCCTTTTTAAAAATAAACTCATATATTTGTATGATCTTGGGAAATATCTTGACCAAATCTTGGGAAATTTTAACAAAGTAAGTGGCAACCCTGCTACTGAGGTCAAGGCCACCTCACACCATGTAAACACAGCAAAATATAGCAGATCGACGGTAGTTCTTTCAATATTAATTTAATTAACTTAACATAATATAGTACTACAACTATAGAAATATAGATGCGTATTTGATGAGCAAAACAACAACAATTACAATTGACAACTACAGTAACAGATCTATTAAAACTACCAAAAAAATGGCTAAATCTGAGGACGGCTGCCACGGCGTCTTTTTTGTGTGTTTATTAAAAAAATAAAGTTGCAGTGAATTAGGGTTTAGGCTTAGGTTAGGTTGAAGGGTCGATTTAGGGTTCAGGTTAGGTATAGGGATCGATTTAGGGTTCAGGTCAGGTGATTCACTCAGCATTGAAATTACTATTTTTTAAACAGGCTATAAGTATAGCAGCGGTTCTCACTCAACATGTTGATCATGACCCTTTGCCTTTGGTAAGGTTGCCAGGTTGCAACATAATTAATGTTCACTATTTTTTTTCTTCACAAAACAGTGGGCATTTTTTGATTCAAAAGCTGTATGATGAAATGGTACATTATCTAAAGCTGTACAGTCTAAGTACTCTAAGACACATTAGAGTACTTGTGTCAAACTCAAGGCCCGCGGGCCACGTCCGGCCCACTGTACAATTATATCAGGCCGGCGAGGTCTTGACTGGCGTACATTTTTATCCAAGTTAATGCTATGATGTTTCCCAATGCACACTTCCCTGAAAAACGTAGCTTTCTTCACGCCGAGTTCACACAGCGCTTTAGTGACTTTGAAGCACACAAATGTAATTTCGAGCTATTTCGTAACCAATTTGTCATTGTCATTTCTTTAAGTTAAATGCCTTTGGCATTCCAATTGAAAATTAGCAGGTACCGGGTAATATGTTTAATGTTGACTAAAATTGCAGTTTCACCCTTTAAAATAAAGATTGTTAATTTTTCAGAAATTGTTGAAACCTGTTCTCAAATTCCTGTAACAAATCAAAAATCAACACTGCATATTTCTTGTTTTGACAGGACTGTGTTTAGCCATCATATCAATTCCGGTATACATTAAATTGCTTGCCTTTATTTGAGATTGCCATAGTTTCAGTTTCATATTAATCGCTGTTAAAGTTTGAAATATTGAATTGATCAGTTGGTTTTAACCTTGAAGACACATGTTTAACTCATTACAGTTGAAATGCCAAATGGTCCAATGTAATTTAATGCTGAACTCTGTTTTCCTCATCAAGTTCTGACATACATTTTTTTAAAATTCATAAATAATTTGATTCATTTTGCAAATCATAAAATCTTTTTAACATTTCTTCTCAAGATAAGTATCAGTATGCATACTAATATGAAAAAGTAACTTCCCATAGCAATAAAATAATAGAATTGTCAAACTTAAAAAAAAGTGACGTTCAAAGGCGCTGTGTATCAATTTGAACAAAACGGCCAAAATCTACATTCTAAAAGCATTTTCTACACACTAAACGGCCTTGGCCTATAAAGGAAAGAAAAACATTAAGCTACTGATAAGTATAGCTCGCTGTCATCTCTCATAACAATTAACGTGTGCGCAACTAAAGAGGTTGGCTTGTATCAATCTGATCAAGAGCGCCAGACGGAAGGTTAATGAATTCATGGAATTGGTGAATCCTTCAATCCTTTGCTCTTCTGAAATTTACTGCCTTGCTGACAACCCATTTTCAAAGCTTATGACCTTGCATTTTCTAGGTGTACTTTGTAGTAATTTGTCACTTACATTTTCTAGGTGTACGATGCAGTGATATATATTATTGGTCACATACATTTTCTAGGTGTACTCTGCAGGGATATTTCAATTTGTAGACTTTGACTTCACACTTTACTAAATAGGTTACTATTGCTTGTCCTTGTGACAGTCTCACTTAATTCACTTACTTACTTATAAAGTCTAATACTCGAAGGTCGAGATTCCATCTCTTAGGACCTTTGGCCGTGAAACATAGCCCTGTAGTCCCTGGGGACTCCGGCCATGCAACTCGGCCCAGAGTGAGAGGGGGTTGGAACAGCTTTGCTTCCTCTCCGGGGATAACGTTGCATTGCCACCCCCACCGTCCGGGAGCTGTACGTTTTCCTTGGTATGGGACGGCTTTGCTTCCACTCCGGGAGTAGTCACGAGCTTAACTTTCTCCCACCGTTCCTAAGAGTTGTGCGAGCAAGTTTGGTTCCCAACAAATTGTTTCCCTCCGGGGAGGCGTTGCGTTGCCTCAGGCCCGCATTTCTCCGGGAGCGTTTCGGACAGGACTGTGAAGGGTCAGAACGGCTTTTACTTCCTCTCCGGGGGTGGCGTTGCGTTACCTCAACCCACCGTTCTGGGAGTTGTTCAGACTGGACGTGGCGAGGACGAAACGGTCGCCTAGGGGCGGCTTACTCAGGGCCGCGTCTTTTTAATCATTGACAAGGGTTTGGCCGGCCACCCACTGCCTCATACCCATCACCGGCAACACGTAATCATGTTAGCGCTAAACTTCCGTTGCATTGGAAATCATGCGTTTTGCAGTGTGTGATCTTTGGCTTCCGGAAGCATGTCCGTACTAGTCTTCCGCGTCACGAAGAGGCAGATCACGTGCGACATTGCCGTGAGCATGGCAATGTGACTTTCCCTTGACCCAGCATAAGCTGTCTCGAGGCAAACGTTGAAGGACTTACTTACTCAATTTTCTGATTACTCATTAGACAAGTAAGCATAGTTAGGCTCTTATCAATGCTGGACTGGCGCTAGGGTGGCGAACAGGGCCACCGCTTGAGGATGGCTGGGGCTTGGCACTTATAATATTAAATATTAATACAGCCGCGCCGCGCCTATTCATAGTTTGTAATTTCCAGGCAACTCATTGTTCAGAGTTACCAGATAATCAAATGGTAAGTCTGTCTAGTTCCCATATTATCACTTAAGGTCAATCACGTGAAGACCCTAAAGTGAATAGTGAAGCTACAAGCTGGGGTATTTAAATTTCATCTTTAGTTATACAATATGGCATCCTGTTTTCCGTCAACACTATCAACAAGATCTTGCAGACTTTAGCAATGCAACTTGATGTAGCCATTACACATGATCCAGGCCTTATCTGTTTCTTCATCAAATACAGAGAAGGATTTGCATCCGCAATGACCACTACTTAAGAATTAGCATCAGAAAAGAAAATCAAGATTTGAGACAGTGTTTAAAGAATGCTGCAATAGACGGATATGAATCTAGAAACAAGATACATCACATGCCTGGCGAATTTTTCTGGCTTGAATATTTACTGTGTTTAGTAGACAAGACGCTTGGGTACCGGTACCTTAAAGACACGTTTCCAACAATGCATGTGTACTTTGACATTTTTGGTTTTTATATGACATTCAGCAACTCTTCACCAATATTCTAGATAATTTTAGCAACCATTGTGTGGATTGGGACATGGCTTTGAAAAAGGGTGATTCATGGGATGGAGAGGGTTCAGACTTACCATAACTGAAGATGTTGAGAGCAACTATTCCAGGAGAATTACAAACAGCATTTCATTTTCTTCAATTCCTTGTGCCGATGACAGTTTTTTTTCAGAATGGTGGCATAGTAAATAAAATACTGACAATATCGGTAACTGTAGCTAGTGCAACAAGAAGTTTTTCAAAAATAAAGTTGATAAAAATTTACTTAAGATAATTCATGTCTCAAGCTTGATTAAATGGATTGTCAACATTTTCAATTGAATTAGTCATTGTTATCATCCTTGAAAATTAAGAATTCTCAATTTTTCTGTTAACTTAGCTGCATTGTTACTGTCTTATATTATTTTTTAAAATTGTACTAGCCAGTATACCCAGCGTTGCCAGGGATTGCATTTGGAAAAAGAAGAACCTCTACATATGTTTGGATCCTGATCCGGGATGGATCTTGAGACCGATGGGATACCGATAACGCCAATTTTCTAATCACAGTATGCTTCTGATCCTGTTGGTATCCAATCCCGGTGGGATTCCGATAACAATGTGTCATAATCTTGTGTGATCCTGTTTCCCGTGGGATCCTGATGCTGGTGGGATTATACAACTAAATGCTCTACTATAGTACATTACAAGTGTAACGATTTAGTTTTGCCTGATATAGGCGGTCCTATCAAATCAGTCAGATAAATTAAGGAGTTAAATTTTAAAAGTTGTTCCAATAAAATTTGGTTATAAAATGCCATAGATATAACTTGTTAAAATTATCAAACTTTCTGGAAAATTCTAGATTTGATACTCTTAGTTTTAACTCCACCGATATTTCAATACAGAAAATGAAGAGTATTGCTAACAAGCTAGGCCATGATCCCTCAATTCACATAGAACCTATAGCGTTGTCTAAGCATATTGATATTTATATAGCTTATATACAGAAAAATGAAATGGGGCTTCCAGCCCCAGAGGAATGGATATGATGTGATCAGTGTTTGAATATGGATAATCAAGTGTATGTGTACTAAGTTTGGTCAAGATCCGTCTATTAATGAAGGAGTATTTGTTATATATAACTCATATAAGAAAAAAAATGAATTCGGGGCTTCTGGCCCCAAACGGAAAAGTATGTAATCCCCCTAGAATTCCTTTCTGGTAATGATGGACACATGTGGGAAGTTGGGTCAAGATCCATTAGTCCATCAATTTTCACTTATATACATATGTAACTTGTCGATTAGGAGGCGTCGGCCACCGACCCCGCGGCGTTACCCGGGGGACAAAACTACTGGGCGCGTCCAGCGTGGGCAGACAAGGGATGTGCTCGGTACCTGCCCTACATAAAACAGCTCCTACAGGGCTGCCAGTTGAGATATTTCCCAACTGGAACAATAGGCAGTGACAGGGTAGGGATCATGATTACAAGTTGCTGTTAATGGATATGAGGCGAGAGGCGAAGGTGGTAACCTCTGGCCGATGATTCTTACTACGCAGCCCTGAGAAGCTGCTCCAAGGCAACCGTTTCATCCCAGCTGCATCGCGAATCAGTTGCGTTGTGGAAACCCAATGTAGAATCATTCTTATAGTCTAACGCTTCCGAGGGATGGGTGGGGGAAGATATTAGGACGTAAAATTTTCCATCCCGACTCCTGAGAAAATCGATAGTGTGCACTGTGCGAAATAACACAGTGTCGGACCGACCAGGTGTCTTTGGGTTAGGACGGCCCCCGGCGGAGACCTGGTCGAGCAGACTCGGGTGGGGGCCGTCCTGACAAAGAGACATCCTCGGCGTGCCACTCCGCGGCCCAATACCCGGGTTTGGGAGGGGTGTTTTGGGGAGGGCATAAAGAGCGCAAGCTCGACCAGCCCGCTGACGCCATTTCTTAATGTGATACATATATATATGATATATTATATATATATGATATGATTATATATATATGATATGATTATGCAGTCTCTTTTTAGCTCTTTATCTATCATAGTCTATATCTCTTTATTGGTCTTGCCCTTTCAGCTTGTTTTTGTCAGACTTCGTTATGCTCATTCAGCTTGTGTTTTTCAGACTTTTCTTTGACCACCTTTAGCAACAACAGAATTCTGCTCAGGGCAATTCAACTGTCTCATTAAAAAAAAAATTTAGGAAACTAAGCAAGTGGACAAATACCAGGTAAGGCGTTTCCCATTATGACCAGTAAGACTGAGTATGAGTATGACATATCTTGATAAATCCGTTTGCCCAAAATTCCACTCTCCCTAGCCCCAATCAGTTAGTCATTAAATAATCTTAGTTTTAAAGGTAGCCACTATTTAAGAACTAAGTCAGTCAAAACTTTTAAAAATATTAGGCCTTTTATTATTATTATAAATCATAAACCTCAGTGATATTCTCATGTTAAGTTTCAGCAGCAAGATATTATTAGTTTATAAATATTAGGGCCTAGGTCTAAATTTTAATTTCATAGGCATGCCATGTATATTTGCTATAAGTTAGGCATAAGTTGGCTAGAAAATAAATTATAACATTAATTTAGAAAAAACAAAACTGAACAAAATATTAATTCATTCATATGAAGATAACTAATATTTATATAGGTCTACAAACAATCAGTTTTTACTTATAACTCTAGCATTAGACCTAAAATTCCTTAGCTAAAAAAATTAAAGTCAATCATAACCCAGAAAATTATTTAAAAATCTATTGATTTTCTTTTACTTTCAAATTTAACCCAGGAACTGTGGCATGCATCATTCTGTGGTGTTGAGCTTTTCAGAGCATTTTGAATGCCATTTGAAATGGCATTAAATGACATAGAAATATTGATACAATACCTCACTAAGTATATAGTTTTAGAAAAGTAAATGGATGGGGATAAAGTTGGCTATATTGCCCACCCTGTAAAAAAATTTTTACTCAGTGTCCTTGACGCAAGAACAAGTTATCAAGAAAAAAAAAATCGACAAAATGTCTTGCTTTCAAGTGCTCATTACATCATTAATTTTTTATAGATACACTTAAAACACAAATCTAAATGTTGTAGCCGATTCATTAATCTTTCAGAAAATGTATAGTTTAATTAGGTTTTGATTGCAATTAAACCACTGAAAGCAATTTCAGTAATTTTAGGTCATTTATATAAGAAACTGGGACCACAGCTAAAACCAAGTACAAAATACAAAATCTCAGGCAAAATAGTTATTATTGATTAGTAAACATTTAAAAAGGAACTGTGGAACTGATTTGGTTTGTTGAACTATAAAATTTATTAGTTCTGATCTATAATCTGTAGCTTCTGTGAATGAAATTCAGTCAGTCCCTGCCCAACCTCCGGGCCTGGCTCGAAGTCTAACAGTAGCCTCAGTTGGCCTACTTTAGTATCACTAAGACTAGAATAAAATTCATGAGAAGAATAATCTCAACTGATATCGTCATGAGGGAATGTTAAAATCATCATCAGTATCAGATAAAACCTCTCCTAAAAATCTTTCAAACATATTTCTATTAGTTCTTGCACTTAAGGCCCAGCCATAGCTTCTACCATTTTAGCTTTAAAAAAAACTGCAGTATTAAAAAGTATTTACTTTTAAGTTAGCAAGAAATAGCTTGAACCGGAAGATGATTTAATTATTAATAAAAGGAAGTGGCTATAATTCCGGTTAAAGATTGGATTGAAAGTTGCTATCGGACCATGTTTTGTATCGGCCGATTTTTTTCGGCCGCCACAGTACAGAACGAGAATATCGGACGATTTTTTCTGCCGACCACAGTTCTTGGGTTAAAATATAAAAAAAATTAGTATTTTCATTAATTTGTTTATCATCATCTTATTTATCAATTAGTCAATTATGATAATTTATTATTTTGTGATAACTATATAAAATAGAAATAATTTTTAGAAACTTTTATTTTTCTTTATAATTAATACTCTATTCTTTTTATACGGTATTATTTGATTTTAAACCATTGATCGCATTAAATTGTTTTTTAAAAGTTCATATTTTTCCATTTTATTTTTATCAGATGACAATTTAAATATGATTTTTAAAAAAAAAGACAGATTAGTTCATTTGTCATTAAAATGTAACTATTATTAGGCCTATGTCATGATTATCATTTTTGTTTGAAGAGTAACGGTATTACAACATAAGAATGTCATCCAATGGAGTTGATAAGAATGCTATTTACTATGAGATTAAGCCAAGAACAGTAAGTACATCTTGTTTAAAGTTTTGTTTTCTAGTATTAGTATACTTGTAATTATATTAATATGTAGCTACATGACTACATGACTTTCTCATTAGCATGAACAGTTGTATTGAAGTGCAAGAATTTAAATTCCAAAGCAATACAACTAAAAATAAACAAATATAGAAACATTAGGCCAACCTAACAATAAACAAATCAAGAAACAGTAGCTATAGACCATCCTAATAATAAACTATTAAAGAAACAGTAGGCAAACCTAAAAAATGGAATTAAGCTAAATTTTAGTTCTTTTGTATTTGAACAGAGCTATAATACATTAACAGTAAGCAATGATATATGCTCAATTAAGTATTATTATATTTGTACACATTTACTTAATAATAGTCACTAAAGTTTATTTGTAAAAAAAAAATGAAAGCTTCCTTATAAATTCATACAATAATTGTTTTCTTTATTATTGAAAAAATCAGATTTGGTTGGTGAGAATTGTCAACATAATTACAGTACTGATGATTCTGGTAGGTAAAATACATAAATTGTCATCATAATTATACAGAAGGCCCACTTATGATTTAGTTTGGTAGCATGCATAAATTATCAGCAAAATTTTACTGTAGCGCTACTGATGATTTAGTGAGGTAACATACATAAAATGTCAGCATAATTTTACAGAAGGCCTAGTTATGATTTAGCTAGGTAACATACATAACTAACAACATAATTATACAGTAGGCCTACTTATGATTTAGTTAGATAACATAAGTAACTGTCAACATAATTATACAGTAGGCATACATATGATTTAGTTAGGTAACATACATTAAATGTCAGCATAAGTATACAGTAGGCCTACTGATGATTTAGGTAGGTAACATACATAAGTCTGATTATTAAAAAAACCAAAACCTTTCACTTATTTCAAGTTTGGTTTTTATACTTTATCTGACATCTTGAGTGTAAATAATAAATGATTTATAACATCAATAAAAACATAGAAATATCTGAGATCTCATGGAATATTAAACTATGTTAAGGTAACATTTAAATGAGTGTTGGACACCTTTTTTTGTGTGTTTACCATAACTTAATGATTGCAACCAGGCCGTATGGTTGAAGCCATGACACAAGGTTTAAGACAGGACACATGGTTGAAGCGAGGAAGTTTGGTTAAAGCCAAGACATATGGTTTAAGACAGGACCTATGGTTGAAGCCAGTACATATGGTTGAAGCCAGGACGTATGGTTGAAGTCAGGATTTATGGTTGAATCCAGGATCTATGGTTGAAGCCAGGACATATTGTTGAAGCCACAAAATTTGGTTGAAGGCAGGACATATGGTTTAAGCCAGGACCTATGGTTATGCCATGATATATGGTTGAAGCCAGGACAGATGGTTGAAGCCAGTACACATGGTTGAAGCCAGGACATATGGTTGAAGCCACAAAATTTGGTTGAAGGCAGGACATATGGTTGAAGCCACAAAATTTGGTTGAAGGCAGGACATATGGTTTAAGGCAGGACATATGGCTGAAGCCAGGACCTATGGTTATGCCAGGATATATGGTTAAAGCCAGGACATATGGTTGAAGCCAGTACACATGGTTGAAGCCAGGACAAATTGTTGAAGCCAGGACATATGGTTGAAGCTAGTACATATGGTTGAAGCCAGGACATATGGTTGAAGGCAGGACAAATGGTTGAAGGCAGGACCTAGGTTGAAGCCTGGACCAAGGTTGCAGGCTGATCATTTAACTCAGCTCTCATTTTCAAAGAGATCTCAAAATTACATGTGGACTTTTTCATAAATAAAGGCATGCTTGGAAGTTACCAGTTAACTTTGAATTTTAGCTTAGTTACATTAAATAGTGAATTTGGAATCCAGCAAGTTCTCATATTAACATTGGGCATGAAACTGTTTAACTTAGTTTTGACCAAACTAGGATTTAAACGGGGCCAAAAATTCAAACTGGCTGCTAAACTTTGTAGGTGTTGAACAACTCAGTTTAACTATTCCAAGAACATTCTCTGTTAACAACTATTCATTAGACAGTACTTAGGCTGTTACCTGTTTCAAATTTCTGGGGCAAATGAAACACACTGGGTTATTGTTTGGGTAAACTTTGTTTTTCAGTTCTGTAGGTGGACAATTACTTGGAAGTAAGAATTTGTGGATTAGGGTTGATTCGGCTTAAATAACAATGCCTTGAAGCAATCATGACCACTCTTTAAAGATATCTGGGAGTAGTTGATATAGTAGTTTCAGATCCCTCCAGTGCATTTTTTCTGGCCTTCTTCTTGTCTGTATCTTAACAATGATATATATAAATGATAAAATACAAAATTGTGTACTTGACATGCCTGGTTTAACTACAGTTATTATATATGTCGCCAAGGTGATGCAAAGGCATTTTTGGCCCCAAACGAATCCAAATTTTGGGGCTCCGCTTATTTTAAAATAAACTCATCAAACATTCTGATTCCCGCCCTGGAGGTTCCCAAGACCCGAATGATTTACTCAATTTCCTCGGCCTGTGCTTGGCCCTGTTTGTAGCTCTTGTAAAATTCATTGCATTGTAAGATATGCTATTACATGTGTCTTCTGTGTCTTGTTGTTTCAGAGATTTTATACAGCTTGACTAAAAGCTATCTGAGGTTTTAAAATTACCCTTAGTAACGTTTGTTTCTTTACAAAATAACAAAATTTGTGAATATTAAAATGTATCCATCAAGATGATTTATTTAGATATCTAAAATAATGAGTCTATTATTAAGCATAATGATTTTTCTATCATTAAGTATGATGATGTTTCTATTATTAAGTATTTTGATGTTTCTGTTATTAAATATTATGATGTTTATATTATTAAGTACCGGTACCATGATGTTTCATTGCAGATAGCTGTGATCTCTTGTTTTGTACAAGGGCATAAGAATAGATCCTACTATCTCCTTGTTGCTAACTTAATTCGTGAGTTTTAGTTTGTTTGATTACAGTAGGTTTAGCTTGAATCATTTCTGAATGTGGCTGTGTACTTGGACGCTTAAAATAAAATGTATTACCTACAGTTAACATTACAGATTTGGATTTATAAAATAAAATATTGTTTTTGTAACTGAAGTTGATTTTGCTTTGAATGCTGAAAGTTTATAACTTTCATTTAAAAAATGTTAAAATGTCTTGTTTTAATATAACAATTCCTATATATATTAAAAATAATAAATTCCATATCTAACCCTTTTATTTAAAAGAATAAATTCTATATCTAACCCACATTTTTAAAAGAATAAATTCTATATCTAACCCTTTTATTTTAAAAGAATAAATTCTATGTCTGATCCGTATATTTTAAAAGAATAAATTCTATATCTGATCCGTATATTTTAAAAGAATAAATTCTATATTTGATCCGTATATTTTGAAAGAATAAATTCTTTATCCGATCCATATATTTTAAAAGAATAAATTATATAAACCCCATTCCCATTGTATCAGTCATTTTGAATATTTCCAATGTTAATTAATAATTTACAACTTGTTTATCCCTTTGCACAACAGTTAGTGGTCTGGTCTATTTGGTGGTGGTAAGTTTTTCTCTACTTGTATTGAACAGTTATCTCATAAAATTAGTGCTTGTTCACAGAAGTATCTTTCATGCCACTCATGACTAAAACTTTTTCATGTAGGCCGAGTGTACAGTATCTTTCTTGCCGACCATGACCTATTTATCTAGATATACAGTATCTTTCATACCACGCTTGACCTATTCATCTAGAATTACAGTATATTTCATGCCACACATGACATATTTATCTAGATATACAGTATCTTTCATGCCACACATGACATTTTCATCTAGATATACAGTATTTTTTATTCCATGAATGACGTATTCATCTAGATATACAAGATCTTTTATACCAAGTATTGACCATTTATGTATATATACATTATCTTTCATGCCACACATGACCTATTCATCTAAATATACAGTATCTTTCATGCCAAGTATGAACTATTTAATGAGGTAGAGTCTCAGTATAAAGCGATAGACTGCATCACAATGGTCATTTTAAGCTGCATTCATCATTCATGTTATTTAGTGTAAGGAAAATTTGATACAAAACTTAAAAGTTATTTCTGACAGAAGACAAACTTATGATATATATTATTATGCAAGGAGAGGGGTTTGTAAAATTTAGCATGTTAAGAAAAAAAATTCAGCTTACCAGTAAAAATTTAGCTAAATAAGAAAAAAACAACGTAGGTAGCCAATAAAAATGTAACAAATTAAGAAAAAACAACATAGCTAGCCATTGTAAATGCAGCCAATTAAGAAAAAATGATACCAACATTGCTAGCCAGTAAAAAATGTAGTCAATTAAGATAAAAACAATATAGCCAGCCAGTAGAAATGTAGCCTAATAAGAAAAAAAACATAGCTAGCTAGCAAGTAAAAATGTAGCTAATTAAGAAAAAAAACAACAATATAGCTAGCCAGTAAAAATGTAGCTCATTAATATTTTTAAAAAAACATATCTAGTCAGTAAAGATGTAGCAAATTAATTAAAAAATAAAACACAAAAAAACCCAATTCAAAACAAGACAATAAAACAGTGTTGCAACGCTTAAATGTTTATTTTCTATATTTCCAGAATTGGTGGTATAAAACTGGTGATCTGGTAAGAAGGATTTGTTTAGCAATTCATACTTTATTTTTTGAAGAAATTCACGTTTAGTTTAATATTCTATAAACTACTCTTTGCAGAAATGTATAAATATAATACTTGAAATGAAGTAAGTGCTACTGTAAATTTGGAAAATTATATCAGTATACCAATGAAAGTTATCTAATATTTAAATAGGTCTATTATAATTTTCTTTGCTCATTTTAATATAAAAAGGATTGCTAAAAAAGCTGTGATTGATTATGACCAATGAATGACTCGACCTTTCATCTTCAGGGCAGCGACAAGTTCTGGTTTGTCCTTGTAGTGTGTGCCGTTATTATCTTCCAGTGTATTAGCACAGACATGTTTGTTTTCAAAGTGGACACACCCACTCAGCCGACAACAACAGTGCCCCCCCCTGTCCCTACCAATAAGACAATGTTTTCTTACCAATAAGTCATATTTTTCCTTACATTCTCATAATATATCAAAAGAATTCTGTCACTACCACTAAGTCAATGTTTTCCTTACATTCTCATAATATAACAAAAGAATTCTGCCACTACCACTAAGTCAAAGTTTTCCTTACATTCTCACAATGTCATTAAACAAAAATCCTGTCAATTAATATCAATAAGTTGATGTTTCACTTACATTCTCACAATATATCAAATGAATTATGTCACTACACTACAAATAAATCAATGTTTTCCTTACATTCTCATATAATAAAAGTATTTACTTTCTTTTTAAGGCTGTTTTAAAATTAAAAAAAAATTCATTTACAATTCTTTCTAAGTGATCTCCCCTTGTCCTTGCTGTGCTGATAATTCTTTGTGTTTTTATGAGTACTAAATATAATTGATATACTTTAGTCATAATAGTGGCTCATGTTATATATTAAAGCAGTGGTTTACCATGCACTTCTCATAGGCTTCTTGAGGAACCCCTGTACTAGATTCATAATAGTGACCACTCATCCAGTTCTAGAAAGTCATATGTTTCTTTAGGGCTCCTTCTATTGCCATGGAAATATTCTCATTCCCAATAATTGTTTACCCCCTACATTTATATTTGAAAAAACATTGCTCTACAAAGTTAATTGCTCAAACCATACATTTAACAAAAGATTATTTATGTTTGTTAAGAAAGCTTAAATTTACTCCTGAGAAACCAAAGAAAAGTAATGTTTATAGAATTATGCATTGAATAGTAAATTTATGTTTTTTTGATGATTTACTTGAAGCAATCTCATTATCTGACATTTTAAAAAAAAACTTACTATTTAAAGAGTGACAATTATTGACATAATCTCAATTGATCTATGGTAATGATGGATATTACTTGTCATTTTAATATTACTTGTGCATTTATTTTGAATGTTTTGTATATCTCTGATATTTATGCATGTTTTTTGTGCCACTCAGCATGTATGTTATAAGTTATATACAAATTGATGTCTTCAAGTGTGTCCATATGTTATATTCAAATTGATGTATTTAAGTGTGCCCATATGTTATACAAAAATTGATTTATTGTAGTGTTATATAAACATTGTGCATTTAGATTAATTACCATATTGATAAATCAGCTTGCAAAAAAAACAAACAACGGAACAATGTTATTTGTTACCTTTTAATTTCCATCCTTATTTTTTACTGCACCCATCAGCTTATACTTATATAAAACTTTTACTTCGGGGGTAACAACATTATGAGTTGTGAGAGCAAGTTCAGCATTAGAAATTAGAAGTTGTTGAGCAGGTTCAATATTAGGTGTTAAAGGGACAGGTTTTACATTAGGAGTTGTAGGAGCAGGTTCAATATTTGGAGTTGTGGTTGCAGGTTTGAAACCATTAGGCAAAGTATGAATTAAATTGGATTTGTAAATATTAGCTTTTTACAGGCAAAAAGATAATTTTGTAACAACTATCCTATTTTTCCATGACTCTGACTTGAATGATACTTGATAGTATGAAATACATGCTTTTTTTTTAAATTTATGAAACTTATATTTATATTGCACAAATATAAAAATGAACGCTGCAAATTTGTAGGAAGAATTAATTTGAAATGAAATTTAACTGTTTTTGGTAAATCTTAAAATTGTACTTGTTTTTATTGGTGCTATTGTTGACTTGTTTGTAGTTCTAATTGTGTTGAGACGAAAGTATAAGACAGATCTTACGATTCTGTAATCTCCCTTGTGCATATATAAGAAAATCAATACATTATTACAAGTTTCTTGTTTTCCTAACGCATTTTTTTGGGGGTGTTTTTCTGTGTGGTATTAATCTTGAATTATTGACCATTAAAATGTGGAGAGACTTAAAAATTGAAAATGAGTAAATTTTCTAACTTTATTGTTTTGCCAGGACTCTAATGCTATCCATGAGGTACAACTGCTTGCATTGACATCCTCTAATGCTACCCATGCGGTACCAGTACAAATGCTTGCACTGACATACTCTAATGCTATCCATGAGGTACAACTGCTTGCATTGACCGGCCCCATATTTCCTCATCCCTCCATCATTAATTTAATAAGGGGGTTTTCACCAAAATATTATTTCCTTGTCCTATAAGTTTATTATAGTCAGTCGTTTATTGTTCTAATTATTATTTTGTAATAATTGCATCTAGTAGATACTTCTAATTAAATTACATTTGTACAGGGTTTACACTTACTGAATAAAGAATCAAAGTGGATGCAATTAAGTTCATTGTTTGACCAAATTACAACTGTTTGTTTAAATCTACATTGTCTTACATAAGGTCATTTCCCATATATTTTTGTAAGTTAGAAACTAATTTAGAAAATGCTGTGCTAGAACCTAGCTTGCAATTAGGCAATGCTCTGAAGAAACTAGCTTGCAATCAGGCAATGCTCTGCTGGAAACTAGCTTGCAATCAGGCAATGCTCTGAAGAAACTAGCTTGCAATCAGGCAATGCCCTGCGAGAACCTAGCTCGCAATTAGCCTGTGCTCAGAAGAAACTAGCTTGCAATCAGGCAATGCTCTGAAGAAACTAGCTTGCAATCAGGCAATGCTCTGCTGGAAACTAGCTTGCAATCAGGCAATGCTCTGAAGAAACTAGCTTGCAATCAGGCAATGCTCTGCTGGAAACTAGCTTGCAATTAGGCAATGCTCTGAAGAAACTAGCTTGCAATCAGGCAATGCTCTGAAGAAACTAGCTTGCAATCATGCAATGCTCTGAAGAAACTAGCTTGCAATCAGGCAATGCTCTGAAGAAACTAGCTTGCAATTAGGCAATGCTCTGAAGAAACTAGCTTGCAATTAGGTAATGCTCTGAAGAAACTAGCTTGCAATTAGGCAATGCTCTGAAGAAACTAGCTTGCAATTAGGCAATGCTCTGAAGAAACTAGCTTGCAATCAGGCAATGCCCTGCTAGAAACTAGCTTGCAATTAGTCATTTTTAATTTGTTTTGCTACTTTTTGGGTGATAAAAATGTTTGATTGAACTGGAAGTTGGATTGATCATATCTTCAATCCAGTTTTTTTCTTAGCCAATAGATGCTGTTATGTAGTAATTACTTTTTCTAGATGTCATTTGTTATGGACATGACCATGTAATGTTGGTTGTAAAAATATTTAATTAATAAATAAGTCAATTTTCCCATGACAATGTATTCTGCTTTGCTTCTTGTGTATTTTAACCAACCTTTTTAATCACAACATGTCAAGCACAACACTTCTATCACAACATTTCTGTCACAACATTTCTATCACAACATTTCTATCACAACATTTCAATCACAACATTTCTATCACAATTTTTCGAATTAAAGGAAGTAATATTTAGGAAAAGAATGTCCGGTATTTTTCCATGGTTTTCAAATATTTCCGAAAGTCCGTAGGTTTCTAAGAACATTTTTCTTGAAATGAAATATGAACAAAAATACGGTACCGGTAGTTTTTAGTTTCTAGAAGATGGGGAAAAAATTATGAACATTTTAAAGATGGAGTCTTGCAAATAAAGTCTTAGCAATAACGTTTCAGCCATTTCTAAAAGTTTAGATATACAAATCCGATAGATAATTTTTAGACGTATAATCAGACGCACATAAGAGGTGTCACTGTTGTAACAAATTAGTGTCATATTCAGACACACAAAGAATATTTGCAACATGTCCTGAAAAACCTTCTATCAAGACACAGTGCTGTATCCTGGCACACCTTATAACAACACACAACGTTATGACAAACATGATATCAAGAAACAGTTTTATATCCTGACACCCAGACCCAGAACGAATGACGGCTCAATCCACATAGATACAGAATTATGCGTTTTGATGCATCGCATGTGTGTGTCGGTGTGTGGGACTCAAGTGTAAACATTACTTTATGTTTAAATAATTAATTGCTGTAGCAAAGAATATTTAAAACTTAGCAGTTTAAGTGCTTGCGGCTGATTGGATGAGTTCTAGCAGGTTAAGTGCTTGCCGCTGTTTGGATGAGTTCTAACCCCCCTGAGCAGCTTAGTGCTTGCCAATGATTGGATGAGTTCTAGCAGCTTAAGTATTTGACGCAGATTGGATTACTTATACCAGCTTAACTATTGGATGATTTCTAGCAGCTGAAGTACTTGAGGCAGATTGGATGAGTTCTAGCAGGTTAAATGCTTGATGCTGATTGGATAAGTTCTAACCCCTCTTAGCAGCTTAAGTTCTTGACGTTGATTGGGTGACTTCTAGCAGCTTAAGGACGTTACGCAGATTGGATGATTTCTAGCCCCTTTCAAAACTGAAACACATGATACAACGAACTATGCAAAATGAAATATACTTTAAATTTTCAAAGAGATTTTAATGTATTAATTATGCTTGCTTACTGCCATTATCTCCCAAGAACTACTCTTGACAAATTGACATATCGATACTGCCGTTATCGCCTATCTCACCGCTCATGCTCAGTACCATCAGATCAATAAGTTTATCACTATGCGTCCACCAAATTTTAAGATACACTTTTGGACGTTGAATGGGAAGGTAGCCACGTCTATCTCACATGAGCTCCTACGGAAGGAATAAGATGTGGTGTGGGTTAAAGAACAAATATGGTGTGGTAAGGGCTAAAGAACATCATATTTTTTATGGGTTAAAAAACAAATATCGTAAGGTATTGATTAAAACACAAATATCGTAACAAATGGTAAGGATTAAAGTTTAATATGGTATGGTGAGTGTTAAGAACAAATATAGTGTAGTACGGGTTAAAGAACTAACATGTTTTGTATGGGTTAAAGAACAAATATCGTGTGCTATGGGTTAAAGAACAAATGTGGTGTGGTATGGGTTAAAGAAGAAATATGGTTTTGAATGGATGTTAAAGATTAATATAGTTTGGTAAGAGCTAAAGAAAAATATGATTTTGCATGGGTTACAGAACACACATGTTGTGGTAAGTGTAAAAGAACAAATAATATTGTGTTCTTTGGACTAAATAACAAATATGGTGGGGTATGCCTTAAAGAACATATATTGTGTGGTACGGGTTAAAGAACAAGTTGGTTGTGGTATGGGTTAAAGTACAAACATAGTGTGGTATGGGGTAAAGAAACAAATATGGTGTGGTAAGGGTTAGAGAACAAATAAGGTGCGGTCTTTGTTCAAGAATAAATATGGTGTGGTAGAGGTTTGACTGGTGGCTACAGCAATGGAGAAAGAAGTGGTAGACGCATGACTAGAAAATGAATCGAAGTGGTAGACTGGTGGCTAGAGTAATGGAGATAGAAGTGGTGGACGGATGGCTGAAGAAATGGAGAGAAAAGTTGTAGACTCGTGGCTAGAATAATGGATAATAATAGAAGTTTTACACTCGTAGCTAAAATAATGGAGATAGAAGTGGTAGAATGTCATGAAATTAATCGTTTCTATCTTAAAATTACTTTTTTCTGTCTGAAAATTAATTGTTTCTGTTACAAAATAAATCGTATTCGTCCGGAAATTAACTGTTTCTGTCTGGAAATTTATTTTTTCTGTCTAAATGTTTCTGTCTGGAAATTATTTTGTTTGTCTGGAAATTAATCATTTCTGTTTGGAAATTATTTGTTTCTGTACTGAATTTAATTGTTTTTGTCTGAAAATTAATTGTTTCCGTCTGGACATACATTTTTCTGTCTGGAAATGAATTGTTTCTGTCGGGAAATTAATTGTTTCTGTCTAAAAATTAATTGATTCTGTCTGGTAATTAATTGTTTCAGTCTGGAAATAAATAGCTTCAGTCTGGAAATTAATTTTGTCTGCCAGAAAATTAATTGTTTCAGTCTGTAAATTAATTTTTTCTGCCAGAAAATTAATTGTTTCGGTCTGGAAATTAATTGTTTTGATCTGAAAATCAATTGTCTCTGTTTGGAAATTACTTTTTTTATCTCTCAAAATTAATTGTTTCAGTCTGGAAATTAATTATATCTGTCTGAAAATTAATTGTTTCTGTCCGGAAATTAATCGTTTCTGTCTGGAAATTACTTTTTTGTGTCTGGAAATTACTTGCTTGTAACTAGAAATTAACTATTTTTGTCTGGAATTTTATTGTTTTTCGTCTAAAAAAATTTTGTCTGAAAATTAATTGTTTCTGTCTGGAAATAATTTGTTTCTGTCTGAAAATTAAAATTTAATTTCTGGAAATAAATTGTTTCTCTTCTAAAAGGTAATTGTTTTCGTCCGGAAAATATTTTTTTGCTGTCTGGAAATTCATTTTTTCGGTCTGAAAATTACTTGTTTCTGTCTGGAAATTGATTGTTAATATCTGGAAATTAATTGTATTTTGTCTGGAAATTAATTATTTCTGTCTGGAAATTAACTGTTTCTGGCTGGAAATTATGTGTTTCTGTCTAAAAAATAATCGCTTTTTGTCTGGAAATTAATTGTTTCAGTCTTGTAATTAAACGTTTTTTGTATGGAAAATAATAGTTTAAAGCTTGAAATTAATTTTTTTCAGTCTGTAAATTAATTTTTTCTGTCTGGCAATTAATTTTTTCTGTCTGTAAATTAATTGTTTATGTCTGAACATTAAAATTTCATTTCTGGAAATAAATTGTTTCTTTCTAAAAAGTAAGTGTTTTCGTCTGGAAATAATTTTTTTTTGTCTGGAAATTTATTTTTTATGTTTGGAAATTAATTGTTTTTGTCCGGAAATTAATTGTTTCAGTCTTGTAATTAAAAGTTTTTGTACGCAAAATAATAGTTTTAAGCTTGAAATTAATTGTTTCTGTCTGTAAATTAATAATTTCTATCTGGCAATTAATTATTTTCTGTCTGTAAATTAATTGTTTCTGTCTGGAAATTAATTGTTTCTGTCTGAAAATTAAAATTTCATTTCTGGAAATAAATTGTTTCTTTCTAAAAGTAAGTGTTTTCGTCTAGAAATTATTTTTTTCTGTCTGTAAATTTATTGTTTCAGTCTGGAAATTTCCTTTTTCTGCATGGAAATTAATTGCTTATGTCTGGAAGCTAATTGTTTTTATCTAAAAATTAATATTTTCTGTCTGGATATTATTTTTTTTTCTGTCTGTAAATAAATGTTTCCGTTTGGAAAATAAGTATCTTTGTCTGGAAATTAATTGTTTCTGTCTGAAAATTTATGTTTCTGTCTGGAAATTATTATGTTTTTTTTCTGGAAATTAATTGTTTCTGTCTGGAAATTACTTGTTGCTGACTGGAAATTAATTTTATTTGTCTGAAAATTGTCTGTTTCCGTCTGAAAATAAAATATTTTTTCTGGAATTAATTGATTCTTTTTGGAAATTAATTGTTGCTGTCTACTAATTATTTGTTTATGTCTCGAAATTAATTTATCAAGTCTCTAAATTAATTGTTTCTGTCTAAAATTACTTGTTTTATCTTGAAATTAATTGTATCTGTCTAGAAATTAATTATTTCTGTGTTGAAATTATTTTTCCTGGTCTGGAAATTACGTCGTTTTGTCTTGAAATTAATTGTTTCTGTCTTGAATTTAATTGTTTCTTTCTTCAAATTAAATGTTTCTGTCTCGGAATTAATTTTCTGTCTGGAAATTAATTTTTTTTCTGTAAAATTAATCGTTTCCTTCTGGAAACTAATTGTTCCTGTCTGGAAATGAATTGCTTCTGTCTGGAAATTCATTTTTTTTGTGTGTGGAAACTAACTGTTTCTTCTGGAAATTAATTATGTGTGTCTGGAAATTAGATTGTTCTGTCTGGAAATTATTTTTTCTGTCTGAAAATTATTTGCTTCAGTCTGACAATTGTGTTTCTTTCTGGAGATTTAGTCTTTCTGTCTGGAAATTAATTTCTTCTGTCTGGAAATTAATTGTGTCTGTCTTGAAATTATTTTTTTCCGTGTGGAAATTATTTGTTTCTGTCTGAAAATTAGTTGTTTCTGTTAAGAAATTAATAACGTCTGTGTTGAAATTAATTTTTTCTGTCTCGAAATTAGTCTTTCTGTCTGAAAATTAATTGTTTCTGTGTGGAAATTAAATATTTCTGTTTAGAAATTAATTGTTGTTTTTTTCCTGGAAATTAATTGTTTGTGTCTGGAAAATAATTGTTTCAGTCTGGAAATTAATTGTTTCAGTCTGGAAATTAATTGTTTCAGTCTGGAAATTAATTGTTTCTGTCTAATAATTAATTGTTTCTG